ACCTGGAGCTCCCGTCTCCACCCACAGTAGAACCCCCACATTGCGGTCCAGGGGCGCCAGGACAGTGCCACTGGCTGTAAAAGGATGGAGGACCGGTGGTCGAAAAATAATAAAATCATAATTTTACACCTATATAACTTCAATCCTAAATACCTCAGTCGTCGAGTCTTTTTTTTTAAATTAAATTTTCCCATATAACTCCAAAATTTTTTCGCACTTCATCTAAGTAAGAGTAATTTTAATATTTTCAATATCCAATTCATACTCAAGTTTCCCAAAGTGTCTCCAAATGACTTATGGAAAAAATGCTATTTCAGTGGGTAGCCGATAGATGATCACCCTTTACATTTGGAGGTAGAGGTCAAGTTTAACCCTTAACTTCTTCCGTCTCAGAGAGAACTCGGACAGCAGACTTTTAAAAAAGAACCTTCTGAAGTGCTCAGACGCTAAAAGAGTGACCTCAAAAATGGACGCCGAGGCCTATGGGATATGTAGTCTTGAATCCCACTGGTTCACCGCGCGGCACTCTGGGAAGGGGATTCGGGCTCTTCTGCGCATGTGCAGCAGTAGCCCCGCCTCCTTCGTCTCATCTGGACCTCCGGGAGTCGTTTGAGGACCTCAGAGTCTCCTCAGAAGGTAAAGGGTGCGCGCCTCAGGTGAGAGTGCGGGGGGGCACTGGGGGGCGGGCCCCTATGCCTCGGGATGGGAGCGAGAAGTCTTTGGGACCCCGTCGCCCCCAGCGCCGCTGTGTGCGCCCGGGCGGGCCCTCGGCGGGGGGAGGGCCGGTGGGGGACCCGGCCCCTCGGGCTCCCGGGGCGCAGGTGCGGCTGAGCCCGTCAGGAGCGGGCGCCCCGGGCGGCCCGGGGTCTGCGGGGACCGTGTGCCTGGCCCCGCTGCAGCCCGACCCCAGAAAAGCACAAGTCGGCGGCGGGGGGCGGGGAGGTGGGAGTGCGTTTATAACGCGGACGGTGACCCCGGGTCTGCGGTGGAGCCCGAGCTCTGGAGCCTCAAAGGCCCGGTAAGTCCCAGCTCTGTCACCTGTGAGCAGGGGCGACAGAGGGAACCTGGGTCAGGGTTCTCATCTGAAAATATTAATAATGACTGTCTCACAGCGTCGTTTTGGAACTTAGGTCTGTCATGCGTTGTAAAGTATTTAGACAAGTGGCAGGTAGTAAGCCCTGAGTAAGTGACAACTGCTGTCATAGTTAGAAGACGCTTTGTCTTTTTTCGCTGGAGGCTTACCGTACCCTCACAACCACCTGAACAGAAACCGAGGCTCAGCGGGGTGGAACGATGTGCTGGAGTCAGGAGCTAGCAGTGAGGGAGTTTGGATTCAGGGCCTGGTGTGCTTACTTCAGTCTCGGGCTTCGTCTAATATCACGCCTGCCTAAGACTGGCATCGCAGCCTTCACAGCACTTAGGAAAGTGGCCTGTCCCCGCATCCCCAGGGGTGTAAGGGAAAGTGAATGCAGATGGAACCCTACAATGTGCCTCTATTCTGGGATTTCTAGTGTCTCTTCAGGTCCAAAGGTCAGACAGAGGTTCCTGGCCCCTTCTGCATTGACAGGCGGCCTTTTAAGTCTGATATTATAATGAATTCCAAGGGTCAAGTTTTTCCCCCTAAAATGAATTTGTTTCTTGGGTCCACGTCCCAGTTGCCTTGAAACAAAGCAGCTGTTGTGAGGTAGGAAGCAGGGGCATCTGTGAAGGAGTCTGACCTAGAAGAGAGCGCCCCTCTGACCTTAGACCTCTCTCTAGAGCTTCAGAGCAGAGACAGAAGAGCCCAGAAAGAGCAAACCCTAGATTTGCAAGGTCAGGAGCAGATCTGATCCCCTTGCTCGGAATGAGCCAGACTTAATGATGATGCCACCTTCAGGAGCCACCACACTGTGAGTGGGGAGTTTGGGCCGTCCTTGAGAAGAGCAGGGTGGGCGGGGTGGGGTGGGGTGCCCAGGGCCAGGCTGCTGAGGGAAGGCTGCTTTGTTGAAGAGCGTGTGAGGGCGAGGTCCGGGGCTAAGGGATAACCAGGCAGAGGGAGGAAGTTCTGTCTCCAGTCCCCTTAAAGGCCCCCCACTCGTTACAGATGCTGTGCTGCTGTGACATGTGTGGTACTAGAGCCTTTACCCTCATCTCACAGGATCCCAGAGTGATGGTTCATGAAGTGTTTTCCAAGGTCATCTACTTGCAACTCTCTTGAAAACTTTGAAGACATTGGGCCTGAAAGGTTCAGTGACTTGTCCAGGGAAACCCAGTTTGTGAGAGTCAGAAGGAAAACAGTGCAGTTCACTTTCTCACAGGTAAGTCACTGAAGCATCTTATCAAAAGGGCCTTTTAAGAAATATATCCCAGCTGAAACAAACAAAAATTCCTGCCTTAGCGCGTCCCATCTCTTTTACTAGGCTTTCTGTGGATTGTCTATACTGGGGGTAAAAGATATTACTGAGAAAAATAGATAAAGGATGCATAGTGAGTATTTTTCTGCTAAGTTAATTTTAATGAAAGAATAGTGTCTTATCTTTTGGTGTACTTTCATTCAACTAATCCTTTGTTGTTTTTATTTCTTTGTGTTAGTCAGAAGGACTCATGCATTATTGTTAAATCGATCAAGTAAAGTTCATGTTCACTCAGTAAAAAACTACAGATGATCATTTCAGAGTCACACAAACACGATGGTGCTGCCTGTCCATGATCCTTCTCGTGCCTTTTCAAGGCCCAGAGGGCCCTTTGTCTTTGAGGAAGATGAACCCTAACTGGGGTGCTGAGATTTGGGGAGGTGAATCTAGGAGCTGTAAGGCAGGTCATATCTCAGGACCCCCATCTTCTTTCTGTCCCCTCAGCTGAACAACAGTTCTCTGCACTCTCCCAGGAGCCACAGAAAATGAACATCCCTCAGGTGAGCTCTTTATTCATTCCTCACTTTATATTGTAATGGATTTATAAGGTTTAGAAGGATCCATGCATAAAATGGAAAAGGAGAAATAGAAATAGATCAAGTCACTCTTGAGGGAAAATATACCCTGTTTTACTATTAACTGTGATGTTTGCTGTCAGCTTTTGGTAGATAACCTTGTCAGGGTAAGTAGGTTCCCTCCAGGTACCAGTTTAGCAAGATTTCATGTTAGTCATGAATGTGCATGGCATTATATTGATCCCCTTTTGTGCATCTATTGGAATAAAGGTATAGCTTATTTCCTTTAATCTATAAATGCTGTAAATAGTATAATGGATTTTCTAATATGAACTTGAATTCCTATATAGACCCTAGCTGCTAATAAGTGTGGTAAGTTGGTTCTTACATATTTTCCCAGGGCTGTGTGCTAATACTATATTTAGGATTTTATTTCTGTATCTACAGCTGGATTAGACTATACTTTCTGTTTCTCTGTCCAATTATGGTATCAAGGTCATAGTCTCATAAAAGGAAATGGGGTTCTTTCCTGCTCCTTTTCTAATAATTTAGATGAGAAAATTGTGTTACATGTAGATTTTGTGAAACTCACCTATAAATTTGGGCCTTATGAAGACTTTTTGCATGAAGATTTTGATTATTGAATTAATTTATTAGTCATAAGCCTTACTGAATTAGTATTTTTTCTTAGTATAACTTTTGGCATTACATTTTCATAGAAAATTGTTCACATTATTAAGTTTTTAAATGCATTTTTATAAGCTTATTGATAGTATTCTCTTAGAATTTCAAACTGTTTATCTGTTATATCAGTAATTTCCTTTTTTGTTCAACTTTAAAATTTTATTTTTGTATAAAGGCTGCTAATCAGAAAAGGACAAAATATATTCTAGTTGGCCCAGTCTGAAACCTAGAATTTCAGTGTCTGAGGGTCTTCATATTTTCTGCTGGCAGCAGACTCTAAACATTGGGAGTAGAGGAACATGCCCTTGCCGTATTTGTGCTCTCTAGCTTTGCACACCCGCTTGTCAGCCCCATTTGCTGACAAGACTATCCTTTCTCCATTGAATAACCTTGGCACCTCTGTGGGAAATCAACCAGCAGTGTATGTATGGGTCTGTTTTGGACTCTGTTGACTTCTGACAATCTGTGTTAGTCATTTTGCTGATACCACACTGTCTTGATGATCGTCTCTTTACACTAAGTCTTGAAATCAGGTAATGCGAGCCTTCCAACTTTCTTCTTTTTAAAAATTGTTTTGGATATTCTAGGTCCTTTGCTTCTTTATAGAAAGTTTTAAAAATCAGCTTGTCTATCTCAAAAAAGCCTGCTGAGATTTTGATTTTGATTGTACAGAATCTATAGAATTTGTAGTATAGATCAATTTGGGGAGAATTAACATCTTGATCGTAATGAGTCTTCCAGTTCATGAACACAGTATCTCTCTCCATTTAGTTAGGTGATATGGAGGGTTTTGAGGGTTTTGGTTTTTATCCTTCTGAGTCAAAACGATAGTTTTGACTTACAGTTTAAAAGAAAACTCTATCTACTGTTTGAAGATAGACTCTGTGGGACAGTGGTGGAAGCAGGAAGACTCTGTGGGACAGTGGTGGAAGCAGGAACAATACAGGAGGCCATTTCTGTAATCCTAGCAAGAAATGATGATCATAAGGGTGTTATTTTGAAGTGGTCAGGTTGTGGGTATAACTGAAGGTAGGGCCAACAGTCTGAGTGTGTGTTTCCTTCCCAAAACCTTGAAAATAGAGCGTGCGTCAGACTTTGAATTTTTACCAGTGTGATTTCAAAATGATCTCTCAGTTTATTTTTATCAGTTTTGCTTTTCTCATGAGTGAGGTGGAACATTGGGTTTTGTTTTTAGTTCACTATATTTCTTTGTTGTTGAACTGTTTATCCCTTACCTGTTCCCCTATCAATGTGCTGATTTTAATGACTGTATTCAGTATACTCTTATAGCCCTTTTCCTATGATATAAACTCCATAATTTTCAAACAGTTTTTTGTATTTTTGCCTTGCTTATGATTTTTTTTTGCCATAAAGACATTTGATTTTTCTGTTGTCCAATTGAGCAGTTTTTTCTGATTCCTGGATTTTCAGTCATAGTTGGGCATTTCCCACTCTAACATTGTAAAATCATTGTCGTATGTAGTCTTCTAGAATGTGATTTTATTTTTTACATTTAGATCTTGAATGCATTTTAATTGTATCCTGCTCTGTGGTGTGAGAGAGAGATCTGTCCTTTCCCAGGTGGCCATCTAGCTGTCCCTATGACATTAGTGTCCAGCCTTTCCTCACTCATTTGAAGGATGTCACTTGTATTCAAATAGGAAGTTTACTCTGTTAATCATTCTTCCTACCACACAGTTTGTTCCAGGTCTTGTTCAGTTGAAGCTTGGGCATCTTTCTGGGCTCTCATCAGCACCCTGCTCCTTCTGCCCACTTCTCTGTATGCATTAGATTGTGGGCTACATTGTCCTGTTTTTCTTATCTAATATGATCTTATCCTCTGTCTTCAAGAATTTGTTCAAATTTTCGGGCCTTCTACTGGGACATTTCTCTGTAATCCTTTTTTGTCATATAGCAGGTTTTGTGTTTCACCTAAGCATGTTTTTGGAGGCAGGGGATGTAAATGTGTGTGCTCAGTCTAGTCCCTTAAACTAGAGGAATCATTTATGCTTGTAATTCTCTCTTAATTTCCAGTACTCTAATCTTTCTGATTTCTCTTTCCACCATTTAGAAATTCTTTCTCAGCCTTCATGGCCTATTCTTTTTCTACCTGCCTCTTAAATTTTACTATTCCCTTGAATTCTGTACTTGGTCCTTTTCTCTCCTCAGATTCTATGTCCTTTCTGAGCCAGCCCTTTTTCTCTGATGACTTCAGTTACCATCTTAATGACTAATGTCTCCTAAATCCTTATTTTCATATTAGACTTCCCTCTCTGTTGCAAAATCATGCAACAACAGTGAAATAATTCCATCTGTGTGTTCCGTAGGTGTTTTGAGTGCAAACGAAAAACATCTGCCTCACTATGACCCAACCTCTGACTCTTACTTGTTCTTCCAGTCTCTGTGTATGGCATCAGCATCCACCTGGTTGCTTGTGCAGCATCTCTGTGTATAGCGGCACAAGAAAATAATGACCAGGTTTTGTTTCCTATAAGGATTAGTTTCCCAATCTTTATCTTTGTTGCTTTGCCTTACTATAGGTCATCTCTTAATTAGGTCTTTTGTTTTGCTGCTTAAGGCATTGTCCACTATTCATATAGAGCAATATATACAATCCTAACTAGGATTGATTTTGCTTCCCAGGAGACATTTGGCAATGTTGGGAGATATCTTTCATTGTCACAACTGGGGATGTTACTGGCATCTAATCAATAGAAGACAGGGATAAACATCCTAAAATACAGAGGACAGTCTTCCACAAAAATAGCGTTGTCTGGTCTGTGGAGTTGGTAGTGCCAAGTTGAAGAAACCCTGTTCTAGAGTGTTGCTCCTGAAATATAAGTCTAGTGGTGTGTAATACCTCCCTGGGCTTACGTGTATCTCTTATTGGGTCCCCATTACCCCAGCAGATCTCCAGGTTGGGGTCTTTATCCTCTGCAGTGTTCTGCATAATCCTTTGGTGCATGGGAAATATATACAGGAATCCTATTTATAATAACTTTACCTAAAAAATAAGGCACTAAACTTTGTAATTATATTGACAGTCTATGTGTATAAATTAAAAATAAATATAAATAAATCAGAGCATGAGAATAACTTTTTTTAATAATTGTGTGTGTATCCTCAAAGTATAAGACAGAATTAGGGCCCTGTGATAGTCATCCTTTATAGCATTTTGTTTTAAACTCTGAACAGTAAACAGTAAGATTTAGTTTCCAAAAGTATTTTCCACGTCCCTGACTCTGGACATTGAATAAAAATGTGCTGTTACAGGCATCACTGTCATTCAAGGACGTGGCTGTGGAGCTCACTCAGGAAGAGTGGCGGTATATGGGCGCTGCGCAGAGGGCCCTGTACAGGGATGTGATGCTGGAGAACTACAGCCACCTCGTCTCCGTGGGTGAGCAGACCTTACCATGTGACTCCCTCTAGAGTACAATTCTGTTTTTTCTTTTTTAATTGTTAATCACTTTTGTTGAGGTGTATTTAACAGAAAATAAAATGCAGCACTTTTCAGTGTATAAGTCAGTGAGTTTTGAAAAATGATGCAATAGATTACCATCATCAAAATCATGATTTAGAATATTTCCATCATCCCAAAAAGACCCTTGTACCCCTCTGCAGTGAGTCCCTTCCCCTCCACCCCTACCTCTCAGACCTCTCAGAGCAATCACTGGTCTGCTTTCTGTTGCAGTAGTTTTGCATTTTCTTGATTTTCATATCAATGGAATCATAAAGTATAGACTCTCTTTTGTCTGGCTTCTTTCACTCAGCAGAATGCTTTTGAGACTCGTGCATAGTACTTAGGAATAAACTAGTGATAGTGTCTGTTTCACTAGTTTATTCCTTCTGTCCTGAGTAGTGTCCCTTTGTGTGCATAAACTACAGTTTGTTATCCTTTCAGTTGATGGACACATGGGTTTTTTTCCAGTTTGGGGTGATTATGAATAAAGCTGCTGTGAACATTCACTTACAAGTCTTTGTGTCAACATGTTTCATTTCTCTTGTATAAATACCCAGGAGTGGGCTTGCTGGGTCTTCGCGGAAGTGTATATATAACTGTAGAAGAAACTGCCAAATGTTTCCAAGTTGGCTCTACTATTTTTCCTGCCCATAAGCAATGTCTGAGAGTCCTCATTGCTCGTTGGTTACCAACATTTGGTTTGGTAAGTCTTAGTATTTTTAACCATTCTAATTGGTGTCTAGTTGTATCTTATTGAGTTTTAGTTAGCATTTCTCTGGTGACTAACAGTGTTCAACCTCTTTTTATATGCTTTTTAACCATTCATAATCTCTTTTAATGAAGTGTATGGTCAAATCTTTAGCCCATTTTTTGTTTAGTTTTTGCTTTTTTGGTCTTGTTGAGTTGAAGAAGTTCAGACCTTTATCAAATATATGTTTTGCAAACTTTTTTTCTCCATCTCTGGCTTGCCTTTTTAAGAAGAAAATGTTTGCAGATTGTTTTTGGTTTTTACATATACTTTTAAAAAAACTATTTATATGACATAATTATAGATTTGCAGGAATTAGCACAGTTGTATTCTTCACAGGTTTCCCCCAATGGTTGTGTCTAACATAACCATAATATAGTCTCAACACCAGTAAACAGACACTGGTACAGTGTGTGTGAATAGTTCTGTGCCATTTTATCACATGTGGAGATTCGTGTAACCACCACCACAATCAAGATACAGGACTATTCTATCACCGCAAAGGTTTCTCTCATGCTGCCTCTTTATGATCATACCTGTTCCTCTCCCACGCCTTCCCTAATCCTGCCCACTACTAATCTGCTCTTCATCTCTATAATTTTGAATCATAGAGTATTTAATGTGAGATTGAGAGCAATCCAAGTTGTAGTGTGTATCAATCGTTTATTTCTTTTATTACTACATAGTGTTCCACTGTGTGAATGTATCCTAGTTTGTTTAGCCATGTGCCTCTTGAAAGACGTTTTGGTTGTTTCTAATCTTGGGCTATTATAAATAAAGCTGCTATGAGCATTCATGTTTAGGTTTTTATATGAGCATAAATTATTGTTTCTCTGGGATAAATGCCCAGGAGTGTGACTGGGGTTGTATGGTAAGTATATGTTTTGTTCTTTAAGAAACTGCCAAACTATTTTCCAGAGTTGCAGTACCTTTTTGCATTTCCACCAGCAGTGTATGAGAAATCCATTTACTTTCTATCCTTCCTAGTACTTGGTATTATCACTAATTTTTGTGTTAGTGGTTGTAATAGGTATAGTGATATCTCATCATGGTCTTAATTTATATTTGCTTAATGGCTGGTGATATTAAATATCTTTTCATGTATTTATATGCCATCTATATATCCTTAGACAGTAAAATGTTTGTTCATGGCTTTTGTGCATTTTTTTCCATGTTTATTGATGTATAATCACAATTAAAAATTGTATATATTTAAGGTATACAACTTGATGTTTTGATATACGTATACATTATGAATTAATTGCCACAGTCAAGCTAATTAACATATCCATCACCTTACAAAGTTATCTTTTTTTTCTTTGTGGTGGAAACACTTAAGATCTGCCCTCTTGGCAAATTTCAAGACTACAGTACAGTATGATTTCACTCATATATGGAAAATAAAACAACAACAATAAACCAACACATAGATACAGAGAACAGATGGGTAATTACCAGAGGGGAAATGAGTTGGGGGTAGGGCAGAAGGGGTAAAGGGGAACATTTGTATGGTGACAGATGGAAACTAGACTTTTGGTGGTGAACACGATGTAGTCTATACAGAAATCAAAATATAATGATGTACACGTGAAATATATGTAGTTATAAACCAATATTACCTCAATACAAAAATAAAAAAATAATACAATGCAGTGTTGTTAACTATAGTTATATTGCTATATATTAGATCTCCATAGCTATTCGTCTTGCATAACTGAACTTTGTACTGCTTGACCAACATCTCCCCAGTCCCTGGAAACAATGGTTCTACTCTCTGTTTCCATGAGTTTGACTGTTTTAGATTCCACTGAGATCATGCAATATTTGTCTTTCTGTGTCTGGCTTATTTGATTTAGCATATTGCCCTCAAGATTTATCCATGTTGGGACAAGTGTCAGGTTTTCCTTCCTTTTTTTGGCTGAAGAATATTCCGTTGTATATTTATATACCACATCTTCTTTAATCATTCATCCATCAAGGGACATTTAGATTTTTTCTTTTCCTGGCTATTGTGAATAATACTGCAATGAACATGGGAGTGCACATATCTCTTTGAGACCCTGATTTCATTTCCTTTGGATATATACCCAGAAGTGGGATTGCTGGATCATGGGGTAGTTCTATTTTTAGTTTTTTGAGGAACCTCCATACTATTTTCCATAATGGCTCTACCAGTTTACATTCCCACCAACTGTGTACCAAGTTTCTGTTTTCTCCACATCCTCACCAACGCTTACCTTTTGTCTTTTTGGAAATCACCTTTCTCTAACAGGTGTGTTGTTGTGGTTTTGATTTACATTTCCCTGATGATTAGTAATGTTGAGCACATTTTCATATACTTGTTGGCCATTTGTATGGCTTCTCTTGAGACTCAGGTTCTTTGCCCATGTTTGTAATCTGGTTATTTGCTTTTTTGCTATTGAGAAAAATATATTATAATATATATTTATATATAATATATATATACTATATATATTATATATTTTGGATCTTTGCCCCTTATAATTGTTACTATAATTTGCAAATATTTTCTCCCATTCCTTAGCTGCCTTTTCAGTCTGATTGTTTCCTTTGCTGTCCAGAAACTTTTTGGTTTGATGCAATCTCACATCTGTTTTTGCTTTTGTTGCCTGTGCTTTTTTGGTGTCATATCCGAAAATCTATTGCCAAAACTGATGGCAAGGAGTTTTTTCCCTATGTTTTCTTCTAGGAGTTTTATGATTTTGGTCTTACGTTTAAGTCTTTAATCCATTTTGAGTTGATTTTTGTATATAGTTTTGAGATAAGAATCCAATTTCATTCTTCTGATGTGGATATCTAGTTTTCCCAGCACCATTTATTGAAGAGAGTAACATTTCCCCATTATATGTTCTTAGCACCGTTGTCAAAGACCAGTTGACCATAGATTTGTGGATATATTTCTGGGCTGTCTGTACTGTTCCATTGGTCTATATGCTTGTCTTTATGCCAGTACTGTATTATTTCATTACTATAGCAGTGTAATATATTTTGAAGTCAGGAAGTGTGATGCCTCCAGCATTGTTCTTTCTCAAGATTACTTTGGCTCTCCAGGGTCTTTTGTGGTTCCATGTGAATTTTAGGATAATTTTTTCTATTTCTGCGAAGAATGCCATTGGGATTTTGATAGGAATTGCACTGAATCTATAGATCACTTCGGGTAGTATGGACATTTTAACAGTATTAATTCTTCAGTCCGTGATGTCTTTCCATTAATCTGTTTCCTTTAATTTCCTTCATCACTCTTTTATAATATTCAGTGTGTATACATCTTTCACCTCTTTAAGTTTATTT